AGGAGTCATCAGCAGCTTCGACCACCTTCTCGTCTTGGGAAGAATCATATTCATCGTCCTCAAAACGATACCAGCAATCTTTTGCCGAGTGTCCCAGCTTGCCACAGATTTGGCACCTGATCGCATCAGGGCGTGATCTGTTGTTGGAGTTGTTGTTGTGATGGCCTCTGTTGTTGGAGGTGGAAGGCTGGCCGCCGCGTGTGCTATTGCCGCTGCTGGCGCCCCCGCCCTTGCCATTCCGAGGTGGCCCGTGATAGCGAGAGCCCCCGCCTCGGCCGCGAGTGGCGGTGTGGCCGACGACTTGAAGCCACCTCCTGCACTAGCTCCCTGGAAGAGAGCCATCCTTTGGTCGAAGTTACTCATCTACCCGAACAACTCATCGAGGGTGACCGGAGTGGTACCAACGTCGAGGGCGGACACCAACGGCTGGTATTCCATGTCAAGCGCGCTGATGATGTAAGAGATTAACTCATCGTCCTGCAACGGCTTGCTAGCCGTGGCGAGCTCGTCGGCGAGTCCCCGCATGTATGCGAAGAAGGTAGCCACCGATTGCGTTCCTTTCTGCGCATTGGTGAGGGCGACACAGATGTTGTTGATGCAGGACAGCGACGTCGACGAGAACATGCGCGTGATCTGAGTGCACCATAGGACGTAGGATCTGAGTGCACCATAGGACGTAGTTGGTGCGGGTGAGGCGCTCGATGATCTGGCCGGAGAGAGGAGAGGAAGCGGCGGCGGATGAGGCCATGGCAGGGAGCTGCGGTGGAGAGGAGGAAAGCTGATAGGAAGAGTCAGGCTCTGTATACCATGTGGAGGAACGTCGTACCCTTCCAGGGCGACGGTTTCGTGTTAATATAGCCATGTCGCGACCTCCTGGCATAGCGTACAAGGTTGGTTCAAATTATAAACTTGGAGAGGAAGAGATAAGGGAAGTTACAACCATATGCAAATAAGCTAAAGATTCTAGTCTATCTACGGTTGGACTCCTCCTGCGAGGATTATCTCCAAGGTCTCTGAACCTTGTCACGTAGGCATGGGTGCGATCAATATTACGTTCAACACTCACAATCTAAATGCTGATAAGAATAAGAGAAGAATCCTACCTGACACTTTTTTTTGTCTTCTATAAAGAGCTCTATGTAGAGTAACCACAAACAACTACCTGTGCTATATGCACTCTACCTCTGGTAGATAGAGAAGGATACACAACCACAGGAACAGGACCTCACTAATCAAGTTTCATCCTGAACCAGATAACAGGAATCCTGCCAGCACAAATGATTCGATGGGGAACGTCCGTAAGGGGTTTACTGCACAAGGCCCCTGCAGAGGAAAAGCTTGATCACCCGGGAAAAAAAAAGGAAAAGCTTGATCCCAGCAAATAGAGGATGCTCAGCTCCGCCCAACATAGGGATTGGCACGCTTTCAGAAGAACATAGAATGGTAGAGGATCCAACATACAGGACACAGCGATCAGTATGGCCTATATGTCATCATACCTTGTCAGATCATAACCATCCTCATCTTGTCAAGTTTTATATGGCTAAAAATGTTTGAAATTGCAGCACTCCTGTATTAAATAGGAAAAACTTACACTGGAATCCCACCTGTGCAGCATGTTGTTGATTGCAAGCTTGAAGAAGACAGGAAGTTATGAAGTGTGGATATAGCAGAAACAGGGTTCAAAGATCAAACAGTGAAGCCTATATGCGGTAACACACCAAGGTCCCAACTGGCTTAGAACTAATGTGCATACTGAGTATACCAAGGTGCATTATCCTGCTTATACGTCCGTCCTTGCTTCCCGCAAAAATGGCTAATAGGACGTTATTGCCTTGGGAACTCTTGGGTATTTACTGATATTGGTGGCTTCCACCTTTAAACTAGCAAGGTGGTACGTACCTCCGCTTACGTTCTGATGCACACATATACTAATCGGCAAGCAGGCCAGAAAACAGAGCATTTCAGGTTAAAATGCTTTTAACGGCAGCCAAAGGCAAAACAGCTACTGTTTCGTGCAAACCTCGGATCGAATTGCAGTGTGCTAGAGGAGACATTGTTCATAATAGTTTCAGAGGAATACCAAAAATTAGAGGATATTTCAGTTGCCAAAAAAAAAAAAAAATCTGACAACAACATCTGCCATACGAAGCGTTTATTTCATAAAGTATTGGTTGATTGGTTCCAAACACCAACATGAAAACTATGATTAAGTTAAATATATAATCATAATGTAAATAAATATATCATTGAAAATCACTATAGTTGTGTCAGCCAGACAAGCAAATATGACTAGATGTTACTGAATGATTATGTCATTACGTGGCACAAAGGAAAATACTATTTAGAACATCACCAGCCGTTGGCCCCACAAGGGGCGCCTAAAATTGCCGCCTGGGGGTGACCCGGCGCAAAAAATGGGCCTCGGGGCGAGTTGGTCCCCAGCCGCCGCCCCCAGGCGCGTTTAAAAAAATTTTGTATAGCAAATTTAGGCAAAGTTCGGCTAAAACACGACAAATTTCGGCAAACTTGGGCATATATTCGCGGATTTAGTCGAGTAGTCGGCTACATACATAGCAAATATAAAAACTAATCAAAAAAACTTGCTGAACGTCGAGTAGTCGCCGTCGTCGCCGCCATCGTCGGCCTTCTCCTCATTGACTCGGGCGCCCTTGCTGGACCCCTCCCCGGCTGGTGGCGGCGGCGGCGCGTCGTCGTCGTCGTCGCTGTCGTCGATGATGACGACTCCTCCTTCGTTGCGTCCTCGGCGGCGCTGTGTGAAGCGCCGCAGGGCGGCGCATTGGTGCTCCCTCGCCATCTTCAAGGAGTCCTGGCGTGCCCATTCAAGGGCCGCGTCGTCGTCGAGCTCAACCTCGCCGTGCTCCGTCTTCACTGGCGCCAGCCCCGGCTCCGTCTTCACCAGCGCCAGCCCCGGCTCCGTCTTCGGCTTGACGAAGCACGGAGGAGGAGCCGACGAGGAGGCGCGCCGGCCACCCTTGCTGATGACGATGCTGGCGCTGCGAGTGCGCCAGCCGAGTGGCGTCTCCGTCGCGGGCTCGGCCTTGACGCCGAGAAGCGTCGGAGTGCCGGAGGATTGGGAGGAAGAGCGAAACGAGGAAGAAGAGAAGGAGGAGCCGAACCTCCTTGGCGCCCATTGCCCATCGTGCCGGCGGTGCGTCGGGGGGTACGCCAACGGCGGGTTGTTGCCGCCCTCGAGGTGCGTCAGCACGCCCTCAAGTGTGCGGCCGGGGGCGCCCCACCACAGGTGGTGCCCCTCGCTGTTCTTCATGCCGCCGACCACCGGCGCACCGTTGGTGGACGCCAGCCGCTACTGCTAGCGGCGCTCGAAGTACACCGCCCAAGCCGCGTGGTTGTCGGCGGCGTACTGGGGGAGAGAGAGCTCGACATCGGTGAGGGAAGCGCGCACGACCTCGACCTCGTCGGCGAAGTAGGAGGGTTTGGCCATGGCGTCGGGCAACGGGGGTAGGGCTGGACTAACGAGCAGCTCGGCTCGTTAAGCTCGTACTCGTTAAGCTCGTGCTCGTTAAGGCTCGGCTCGTTAAGCTCGTTAAGATTAACGAGCAGAAAACCCTGCTCGGCTCGGCTCGTTTGAAGCTCGTTAAGCTCGTGAGCGCTCGCGAACGCTCGTTAATAGATTTATAATGTGTTATGATATACATGATGAATGTGTAGGTATGGTTTCCAAGATGAAATATGGTGACTACAAAAATAAATAAAGTAGTTTGTTGCCTCATATGTTGATTAGATTAAATAGATGGGCTAAGGTGCTACAAAAAGTTTGTCACGTAATATGAAAATATGTGTTGTGTTGTTACTAACGAGCTTAACGAGCTACTCGTGAAACTCGTTAGCTCGCTCGTTAAGCTCGTTAAGCTTAACGAGCTAAAATCAATGATTGGCTTTGTTCATTAAGAAGCGAGCTACGAGCTTAACGAGCCGAACTATCGAGCGCTCGTTAAGCTCGCGAGCTACGAGCTTTTGGTCCAGCCCTAAACGGGGGAATGGGCACTCCCCCGTTGCTGAGCCTTCAGTCCGTCGGCCCGGCGCGCATGTCCGACAGCGCCGGGATGTTCGCCTGGAACAGGAGCCACGACTCCTGTTCGCGGAGCGAACGGCGGCCGAAGCCGTTGGCCGCCGCCTCGTCTCCGGAGAAACGCTCGGCCATCGGGAAAGGGGAGGGAGATGGAGGGGTTGGGCGGCGGCGCACGGGAGAGGGAGGGCTGGGGGAGAAGAGCCCGCGAGGAATCAATGGCAGAGCTGACCGGCGGCAGCCTTGCCATTGATTCCCCGCAGGAAACCGAGGCGTCGGGAGAAGACGAGGCGGGCGGTGTCGCTGACGCGGCTGGCGCGCGGCTCTTTCGGCCAAAAACTATTCGCCCGGCGCCTCCGAGCGCCCCCTAGCGCGCCGGGTTCGGGTTGGGTCCGCTGGCGCCAATTTCAGCCCGAGCCGGCGAAAAATGGGCCCTTGGGGCGCGACTGGACCGATTTTTTGGCGCCGGTGGCCGAAAAGTCGCATGGGGGGCCTTGTTGGGGGCGCGGCTGGAGATGCTCTTAGGCACAGGAAGCTTCCATTTCCCTCAAAAGCGGCAAATTTTCCTACCAATTAGCACATCATATCTGATTGTTATAGGACATGCAACATTGTTGAGAAGTGAGAACACACAATAAGATATGGTTAGTGGAAAATCTAGTGATGATTGTCTAGAACAAAGATCATTTGGAACCATTGATAATTACATAGCACAACAATTGGGTACGATACACTTACAATTTCAGATTCCGTAAATTTGAATGCTAGCCGAAATTGTTACTAGAACAAAGTTGCAAGTTCTGCACAGAACATCCTATTGTCATTCATTGGACTAATTCAGCAGTGAGAACAATAATACTCCACCTAAATTCAGATCACGAGAAAAACAGAAAGAAAGAGTAAGCTACCTCCAATCATCGTCTGCTTCCTAGATCCACAAGAGTTCAGTTCACTGCTTTCCCAACATTGCATCCAGAATAGAGTTAAGATTATGTATATATTTGTCATGACAATAACCGGCCCTACAGAATCTTTCAATTGTGAGGTCAAATATAGAATTATCTAGGAAAAGCCCTTTTCTTTCTCTCATATTCTGGAATATGCGAATAGTCTCCGGGATTTTGCCATTGTAAGCGAGCCTGTTTATAAGGACGCCAAGAAGATCCATTGACAGTCCATTCTCTAGCGATTCTAGAAAGCAACTACTGGCCTTAGCAAAATTTCCATCTCTGCATAATCCAACAACGAATATAGTGTAAGTAACTTCATCTACAGCAATATTTCCTGCTGCCATGTCACACATTAGGTGGCCCACCTCACTACGCTTTCGATGGTAGAAAAACCAATCAATCAGTGTATTGTATGTCACGACATTTGCAGCAAACCCTTGGTTACAGACCAGGCTCTTGGCTGCGGAGCACTTTCGACCAATACAAAGACTACGAATGACAATGTTGAATGTCCTCGTGTTTGGCATCACACCTTTCTTGATCATGTCTGTCAACAGCTTCAGAACACCCCTCCAATGTCCCATTTTACATAACCTGCCCATCACAGTGTCGTATGCAACAACACCAGCATACCATCTCGATGACGTACTCCTCTCTAGCAAGAATCTGGCATGGGAAATCCTTGAGGCATGGCAAAGGCAATTCAGAAGAATGCTCAAAGTAAAATCTGTGGGATCCAACCCTTTGCCCAGCATAACACCCAGCAGCACAAGTGCTTCCTTAGCCTTACCTTTCTGGCAGAGACCGTTCATAAACGTATTGTAGGTGACAATACTGGGCGTCCAATCCTTGGTTCTACTCTCCTTTAAAATCTGCTTGACTTCCTTAAATTTGGCGGCATCACACAAAGCCCTGATCAGAACATTGTAGGTGACTACATTGGGAGGGCAATCAGCAGCTTCCATCGTGGCCATCAGGTCCATGGCCTCCCCGACGCGGCCCTCGCGGCAATATCCCTGTACAATGGGCGTGTAAGTATGCACCATGGGACGGCACCCCTGTTCCAGCATGCACTCAAGCACACCCCATGCCTCGGGGAGCCTCCCCGCACGGCACAGCCCCGTGATAAGTGTGGAGTACGTACCCACGTCAGGTTCCACCCCAGCCTCTCGCATCCAGAGAATCGCCTTGTACGGAGAGTCGTCGTCGTCGTCAGAGATCCACGAGTGCAGCTTGAGAAGGATGTTACAGGACGACGCATTGGGCGCCACCCCTGCCGCAAGCATTTCGCCGAACGCGTCGTGGGCGTCCTTCACATGGCCAGCTTCCACGAGCGCGTTCATGAGAGTGTTGTAGCAGAGCACACTGGGGGTCCCTGAAGCCCTGAGCTCGGCGAAGCGGGCGAGCACCTGGTCGACGTCGCCCGCGCGCGCGGCCTTCATGGCCACGTTGCAGTCGCGCTCCAGCTGCCGCCGCTGCGGCTGCTGCTGGTGCTGGTGCTGGTGCTGCGGAGGAGGGCGTATTTCTTTCGATGCGGGTAGAGGCGGGAGGGGCTTGGCGTCGTTATAGTCATCGTCGGAGGAGGAGCAGGAGGGAGAGGGGAGGGTCGCAACGGAGGCGAAAGAGGCCATGCGCCCGCGCAGGAGGAGCCGAGCGGTGGGGAAGGCGGTGGCGCGCGCGATGGTCGCCAACGGAGGGGTTCACCGGCGGGCGCCGTGGCGGTGGTGGAGGCGGCGGGGGGAGGAGAGACCGAGAGACTGATTTTTGGGATACGGATGGTGGGCTGAAACGGCGACGGGGTTTGCGTGGGGGTTTCGGAACGTGGGCCGGGTCCGCAATTAACCGGAGTATGCTTCATTCAGCCCAGCACCAGTTAACAGAGCATATCCGTTCCTCAAAGTTGTCCTAAAAAAAAATCCATTCCTCAAAGTTACACCTAAAAAAAAAGTATTCCTCAAGGTTTGTCTCAAAAACAAAAATATTCCTCAAAGTTTGAGGAATATTTCTTTTTAACAAATATTACTCCCTCACAAGAAAAACAGAACATATCCAATAGAGATTTGATCTTGTCCAAAGTGTCATTTTACAAGATTTTTCAACAGTGGGAGGAAAATATATAATTAGAGCCTGCATTTTGGTATTAGTAAACACAAGCTCATGTTCTACCCTAGTAGCAAAAATAAAGAAACAGGAAAGTCACATTTCATTTCACTTCATTATCTATCCTAAAAATGCTCCTTGTGGAACACAAATTTAGTGAATGTTCTCATGTTCATTTTGTGGCAGAGTCTTTCCAGTTGTCTTCCCAAATCATCCGGCCCGCAGTAGAAAACCCCTGCCATTGCGTTCCATTTCCATGTAAGAATAACGAATACGTGAACTTGAAACTGAAATTTCATTGAAAATATGTCCCAAATTAAATAATACTAGGAAACTCATGATAGTAGGGTCATATATCTGCAACCCTTCCCCCTTTTGACACATCAGACAAGAAACTGGGGATCATTATTTCGTCGTACGATGATTTGACTGACAGTGCATCTTCTAAATTAAACAAATATTTTTGGTAGAACATTAGTTGCATATATAATTAGCTGTTAGACAAGAACAGAAGAGTCATACCTATCCTTTCACCGATATGTTTTCTTGCAAGACCATGGAACACCCTAGGCCAGTTCGGCCTTGAAAAGTGTGTACGGACCTGCAAGTAAAAAAATTGCCTTGTGATTGACAATTTGACATTGCACAGAATGAAGGCTTCATGGTAATTAGCACGGGAAAATTGCAGTGCACCAAATGGTAGAGTAATAAGAATGTTGTACAATCTTCAACTTTGTGTAGCTGTTTAGGAGAAAGACTTACTGGAGTTTTTGAGATGATATCAATGCCATGGCGCGCAAAATGAAGAGCTTGAATTGCACTTATCAGCACTGACCGCTTGTCACCTTCCTGGTAGACGCTTGTTAGATAGTTGTACATCTCTACCACACCCTACAAGCACAACGAGAGATTTATAAGAGCGCAAGACATTAATTTTCATGGAAAATGCCCATCTGGAAGTAGATATAGACACTTCAGAATGGTCATTAAATCGTAACCTGTTTGCTGTCTTGAGCTGAAACCTCCCTCATGATGTCCCTAAACCACTCAAAGGATCCTTGCTCTCTTGTCACCCAATAAAAGTAGGCCTTCCTCAGCCCATTGGCACTATGATGATTTGCTGCGCAGCCTTCCTGCAATGGATTGGGAAGATTATGATAAATCATTTTGTATGCAGATGCGTAGCTGTTTAAATTTTACGAGCAGGTTGCACTGATCATTGCCTTATCTAGGCCATTAGCAATGTCTTTGAGGACACTTATGAACGGTGTTGCCCCTATTCCAAGCCCTATTAGCAAGATAATTTCATATTTGGAGTGATCTTGTGATGCTGCACCGTATGGGCCATCAATGTATACTTTTGGCAGGTCGAGGTTGCTGCAACGCAGTGCCTACAAAAATGTCAACTGCTTATATATTTTATATATATGACTACAGTATTGAGATAGCTACCTGAAGCATTATTCAGAGGATGAAGAGTGTCTTACCTCATGGAACATATCATACACATGGTAGCTCCAGTCACCCAGAGATCTGATGTGGATGCTCAAATGATCATCATCTGGTGCAGAGGTAAGAGAAAATGGGTGCCTGAAACACATAACGAAATAGATCTAGAATTAGCAATAATACCCAGGCTACAAACTTGCACGCGATAAAGTGACAGTGCAAAACAGTAACGAAACTGATATATCACCAACTATTTACCAAAGCTTCAGTACCATGGTAAGCTCACCATTCAAACTTCGATACTTGTGGGCATTGGACAAAGACATACATTCCACTTTGATAGCGAAAACCTGGAGGCTTTGTCATCTTGAGAGAAAGTACCTTCCCTGGATAAGTGATTGCCTGTAAAAAACATACTGAATTAGATTCGTTACAAGAGGACGTGCATAGAACAAATATACTTCATTGAGATGAAGAAATATGGCAGATGAACATACATCGAGGATCTTCGATTCATATGCCATAGATCTGACCATCCTGAAAATTCGCTCTCCAAAGTAGATCATCACAGGAATCACCACATACACCCATGTCTGCATACACTTTTGAGACAGTATGAGATAACAGGGACATGAACATAGTGATCTTACTTTATTCAATTCATATTACCGTCTTCTCTGATACGTCTTTTGCTAGGAAGAGGAACATGGAATGCACGATGAGCAGAACATAGACAACAATGAACAGATGATGTGAGTACCAGAAAGCATTGAATCCTGCCATCTGTCTGACCAGAGGTGGGAGTGATCCTGGATTTCTTCTTGAAGGCCTACTGGCAAGCAGGAAAGCAATCAGCATGAGCACTACCATGGCTATACCAGTTGTTCCCTCGATTGATGTCACTATCTCCATGTATGATGGCTGGTGATAGCCAAAGTCACCAGCAATTGTGCGCCCAAAGATGGTCTTATCTGCCATTGCAATCCTTGGGATGTCACATGATAGGTGAGTACCACCATGGAGGATTATGCCGATCACAATTCCTGCAGCAACAAGCTAAACTGGAATATGAGTATTATGCTCAGACCAATTGGAGTATACAAGCGAGGCAAATGTAATGCACATTACATTTGGCAATAGATCACACCTTGTGGAAGTTAATATTGTCATTAAATGGAATGACAGAGTTGATGCTACGGCTTCTCCTAAGCCAAGTGATAGTGTTACGGCATACAGGTAGGAGCACAATGGCCATGTTGAACTTAAGAGTCTCTGCAGCGCCCTTGGCAGTTGGCAGGCAGTATCCCATGACCTCAAATGCCAACCGCTGGCGATACTGCATGAACTTCCAAGTGAAGAGTGCAGCACATGCTACAAGCCACATGACAATTACCCATATTCGTCTCCAGTGAGCACGAAAAAAGACAATGGCTGCCGATGTCATACATTGTATGTGTTTGGTCGGTATAGGTGTTGACCAGCAAGTTGGTTGGAGATCATTCAGTGTCCCCTTTCTTGTTCCGCTCAGCTGCATGTTTTAGGATTTTATTTTACAAGGACAATAAATTGAATATATATTATCAATATGAAGAAACATAGTCAGTGATTATAAAATACTGTCTGGTGCTAGTAGATCACCTTTGCTAGTCCCTGGCCTGTTTGGATCTCTTCTAGGATCAAATGTGTGTATTCAGTAGCTTCATCTTGGCTTAATGAGAGCTTGTTCAAAGAGGCACTGAACATTATCGCCTAAGAAATTAAAAGCATGTAAATACACAGTTCTAAGCTATTAGTAATCATGTGTCAAGACTGTCTGCATCATACCTGTTTGATATCTTTTTCAGTGAGATTGCTACTTGAGTTTCTTTCACAGCTGCAGTGCATATGTGTAAGAAATTTCTATGTGTCAATAGTTTTTTATTCCTTGGTGTGTATACTGGAGACTGGAGTCATAGGAGTTGCAGTTGACGAAGAATACCTATCCAATGCTATTCTGATCCCATGGCTAGAAGAACGACTGATGGATCTTTTCGGATTGCTGTTTTGATTGACCAAAACAGGCTCTTTTGCCGAACTAGCAGACTCATTTTCACCTACAGAGTAAGAGTATGAGCTCATAAGAGATGCAATTAACATACAGACATAAATTAAACAGAAAAATATGGCTATTTTCTTGAGAACCCATTCAACATTTTTATCTCAATATTCTAGATACAAAGAAATATATTAATACCACGATCTTCATTTTAACCATTCAAAATCATGGAGCCATATGGAATGTAGAGAGCTTACAAAGATGAACAATTGATCCCTAGGCATGGTATTCAGTATGATTTTTAAGGTAAACCTTACAGAAACTAGGACAATGTTTCTAATTTTAGTGTTTGCTGTTGTTGTTGTTTTTCCGACAAAGAGGTTAAACACCCCCGTCCTCTCAATCAGTTCCTCCTGAGCCCATCTCCCACTCGAAGGCTGGACTCTGCACCACTCCACAATAATAAAACTAATTCTATTCTCATTTCATCCTTATCCCAGCACTTTACAATGTTGTCTTTGCTTAAAGCATGGGGCAATCACCCAGCACTTTAAGCACAGCTCACGTTGAAGCATAACAGCAAACAGTTGGTGTGCATGGCTGCATGCTCCAGAAACAAAGAGCTGATAGCACGACTGCACGAACAATTCGACAACCCATTCATCTACGCAGCCTGAATCTAAAGAAAGTACATCCATACGTATGCATCTGTGACTATTCAGCTAGCAATATGGCATGCTGTGCAACGATATCGCCTACCTTCGTAAAGAGCTCGGCCTCGCCAACGTGTGTGGAAAGCCGCGGGATTGGAGTCGGCAGGTCAGGTACTCAGGGATGGAGAGCGTTTGCAGGCTGGCCGGGTGGGAGGATCAAAGGAGGCGCGGGGTGGTGGACATGGTCATGCTGGAGAAGTGGAGATTGGCGCGGGGAGGTGGACATGGTGCTCAATTCTAGTGCATCTTTCATCAACGTTCTGCTGCACTTTCTATTTATCCAACTTCCTATTGTAACTTTATTATACTGCATTTGTTTTTCTATCTTTTCTCA